TGTGCCCTCCTTGGCTGAGGTCCTGCCTGGAAAGGAGGATGAGGCTTTGCACAGATGCCCACCCAGGTTGCTCGTGTGGGGGGCTTCTGCATTGTCCACTTGCTGGGAATTTGGAGATGGGATTTGGATCATCCCTGAAGGCATCTCCTGGCTTTAATTTAATTTAATTAGGCTTGTGGCGTCCTGAATCCGGGTGCTGAGGACCAGCAGCCCAGCCCTGTATCCATCTGCCTGTGCCTGGGCAGGGGGGCTGCTCCCAGGGGGCTCTGTGGGGAGTGGGGACATGGAATGCTGCGAAGCAATGAGAGCCACTGGCTGGAGTGGGGGTTCCTGTGGACAGTGATGCCACTGGCTGTGATGGGTGAGGGGCTGTGGGTGCCCCTGCCCAGCTCCACTCTCCTGGAAGGACCTCGGCTGTGGGAGGTGGTGGCCAATGTCTAGCTGGGGAGGCTGTGGCCAGTGGGTGGCCATGGTGGCTCAGCTGCTGTGGGCACAAGTGCTCCTGCCTTCCCCTCCCTACCTCTCCTGTGTCCTGCCAAGAATTTGTTCCTTCTTGCTCAGGGCTGACATCACCCCTTTATCGCTCCTTGCTCCAAATGTTCGCAGCATCCGGGAGGTGTTGGCCACAGGGCCTTGCCCTGCCCACGCAGGATGGTGCCGGGCATTTCATCCTGCCTGGACCTGCACTGGGCAGGGAGCCCCTCCCTGAGTCCCTTTTGGGAACAGCCATCCCCTCTGGTGGCACCATCCCTGCTTGGTGCCACCTCAGCCTGGGCTTCCCCATCCATCCCAGGATGGAGCAGAGATGAACAGTCCCAAGTAGCTGAGTTGGGATGAGTCCCTGCTCAGGTGCCCAGCTGAGCCTCCCTGCAGTGTTGCCTGGCTAAATCCCATCCTGTGCCCAGAGAAGCTGGATCCAAGGTGGTGGTGAACCCTGTCAGGGCCAGAAGGCCATGTGTCGCTCGGCATCCCAGGCAGGATTTGAGCACAAGCCTATAAAAACAAGGCTCAGCATATTAAATCATTTGGCATTGGTACTCCAGCTCCCTTCCAGTTGATGGTGTCTGTGAGCATGGCACCATCCCGGGGCTGGGAGGCTGCTGAGTGGTGACAGCTCCATCTTGGTGAGGCATCTTGGGCAGGGTGTTGGGACACACAGCCCTAAAGCTCTGGGTGGGAGGTGAGATTGATGTCCTGGGATTTGGGGAACAGCAGGGGGCACCCAGACGATGGCCTGCAGAGCTGGGGAGGGGGTGATGCTGCCGACGGGTGCCTGGTGAGCAGCCCCTGGGGCTGCTGACTGCCCACACTGCCAGGATAACCCTGGGAGAGCTGGTCCATCTCAGGAATGCTCAGCCCTGGGGCAATCTCTCTTCAGCTTCCACACTGAGGTCCCAGGATGGGGTGGCTGTGGAGAGAGCAGCTCCAGGGAGCTGCTGCTGTGCCCAGGAGCCCACCAGGCTCTGGGCAGCTTCACGGCCACATGGAAATTCCTCAGCCAAGCTGTGCTTTGCACTGCTGAGGTTTTGCAGGTCTCCCTGGTCCTCTCCCACTGTGTGTGGCTCGGGGATGAGGATGCACAGCTCGTGGTTCAGGGATGAGGGTGCTCTGCTTATGGCTTGGGGATGAGGATGCACAGCTCGTGGCCTGAGGGTGAGGATGTACACAGCTCGTGGCTTGGTGATGAAGATGCTCAGCTTGGAGCTCAGGGATTAAGGTGCACAGACTGCACTTCCACAGCTCAGGGATGAGGCTGCGCAGCTCAGGGCTCGGGGATGAGGACTCACAGCTCACATCTCGGGAGAGGAAGCCACTCCTATGTTTCATTGGGATGAGCAGCGCTGCAGACCTGTGCCCCCAGCCCTCCATCAGGTGCTGTGCTGGCAGGGGCAGGGGGTGGTTGTGGTTTGGCAGCTCCCAGGCCGTAGCCGTGTTATTGCCCGTCTCTGCTCCGCTCAGCGAACTGCGGCGCTGATGTTGAGCAGTGTCTGCACGTGGGGGCCTCGGTGCTGGTGCAGGAGCAGGGTGAATACCTGAGACAGCCAAACGTCAGTGTGGTGCCGTGCCCGACTCACCTGAAAGAAACGTGTCCACACCAAACCGGGACTGCGGCTTCAGCCGGCTCCTGTCGGCGAGGAAGCACAGGCGGTGCAGGCAGGCTGGGTTGCCAGGCTGGCACAGCTCGACCCCTGCAGTGGCTCTGCTGTCACTGGAGAAGGGCACGATGCCGTGGGGTCAGTCCTCTTTGCCCTCCCTGCACGGCCGGGAGGGCACCCCAATGGCAATGCCGGAGGCCAAACTTTTTTGCTTGCTCAAGATAAGTAAAGCCAGGGCTTCTCATGCCAAAGTCCCAGTGGAGGCTGGTGTGTCCCGCTCCTGGGGGAGCCGCTGCAGTGTCTGGAGCTTCTGCAAAGTCCTCAGGAGTTGCTGCTGACCCGCTGCTCCGGCAAAATGCCGGCCGGCCCCTGGTGCGGGAGTTTGCCCCAGCTTGCCGAGCCTGCGGAGCGCTGCTGGATTTTGCAAACTGGACTCAGGCTCTCTTCTGCTCCTGCTACAGCAAAAGCCTCTCTCTGCTGGCCCAGGGTCTCTGGGGATGCCATGGGGGGTTTCAAGGCACCTGCTGTCCTCTGCTGCGCTCCCTGTGCTGGGCTTCTCCTGTGCTCGGTCTGACCATGTCCCTCCCGCCGGCACAACTGCAAAACCAGTTGGCGAGCTGGGAGCTGGGGCGGGAGGAACTGGCGCCGGCATCTCCTCGTGATGCAGCATCCTGGGAGGGCGGCGAGCCCAGCGCCAGCCTCGCCGGGGCCGCACAGACTGGCCGGCTCCAGCGATCCCGGTGGGGCTGAGCCAGCGGTGACGGCTCCTGTGCCAGCTCCAGCATGGCCAGCAGCTCGTGTGCTGGTGGCCATGGGGAGCGAGCAGGCCCCGGGCAAGCTGCCATGCTTTGGGGCCACGTGTTATGGGCCCGGGGGTTTCATTGTCCTTCCCTGCACTTTTGGCCAGGCCTAAGCACAGCAGATGTGGAGCTGAGCAGCGTCGGAGACCTTAAATAACACCAGAGCATCCTCACCCTCCTGGCCCCGGGCCTCCTGCCAGCCTCCCAGGAGTTTTTTTTTTGTCTGTGTGAATAAATTAGAACTTCCGAAACAAACCCTCTGACCGCCCTCCTCCTCTAAGGCAAAACAAATCCTGCCTGGCTTGGACAGCACGTGGCCGTGTTTGCTCCCTCCTTGCCAGACTTGCCTGAAACAATCTGGCGAACTTGTCTCTCTCAGGTTTTGGGGATGTTTCCTGGGGTTTTGAGGCTCATTTGGTGATAGGAAACTTCATGTTTGGACTGGAAGCTTTTCCTGCTGGCTGCATGGGAGCAGCACAGGTAACCGTGTCCCATCAGCTGCGTCATGGTGAGGCCGTGGCCACGAGCACTTTTATTTTTAAACCTTATCTTTATTGCAGTTTTCTCCTGCACTGCTGGGAAAGGTGAAATGCACCTTATCTGTTTGGCTGCTGGCAGCATGAGCTGTTCCTGGGGAGAGGAGAGGTGGAAGGTGCTGCTCCGGCAGCACCTTGAGCATTCCCTGCGGCACCAGGGTGTTGGGGGTGATGCGGGGGCAATGCCAGGGGTGATGCTGAGCCAGCCTGGCACTCATCCATGATGGATGCTGGGTGTTGCATGGGAAAAGGAGGTCCCTGCAGCCCCTTCCTGCCAGCTGAGCACCTCCGGGGTGTGTTATCACTCTGGCCTCTGGCCACGGGCTTAATTATGGGTTTCTGACGCAGCAATAAAGTAAAGCTCTAAAGTTGGGGACTGGCCCAGAGCCGCTGAGCTGATGGCTTAGCTGGCACCCGAAGAGCTGGAAGTGCCCTTATGGGGGTGTGTAAGCTGGGGGGCAGCCAGTCCCTGTGCCCCCCTGAGGCTGGTGGGAGGGGTGCTGGGATCTCGTGGGGTGACAGTCCCCAGGGCCACGGTTGCATCCATCCCAGGGTGGCTCCTGCACAGGGGCCCTTCTCAGGCATGTCCTAAGGAGCACCCGAGGGTGCCAGGCAGGAGGGTGCAGGGCCATGGGGCTGCCCCTGCAGCGCTCCCCTGTTAATGGTTAATGTGCCTGGGCAGCGGTTGTGGCACAGACTCCCCGAGCTATCAGCGCTGCCATCGGCCCCGGGAACAGCCTGTACTTTGCTGCCGCTGTTTGTTTGCATCCCGGCCGCTCCACCCTGGCCACTGGCCTTGTCACCGCCCCAGAGCGCCCAGCTCCCACCCGGGCTGTCCCCCAGCCACCCCGATGGTGGCTCTGCGGGTGACAGTGTCACCTGTGGTGCCCGTTTGAGGCGAAATGGAGGAAATGAGGCTGGGACCGGGTATGGAGCACCCAGTGCCCTCCAGAGAAGGACATCCCGGTCGGATGCTCCCCTGAAGGATGCAGGGTGACAGGAGCAGAGCAAAATCCCTTTTCCCCCACACTTTCTAATCTCCTCATCCCCCAGCCAGGCGAGGAGGTGCTCCGCCTCTTGGTCACTATTTCTGAGAGGCGAAAAGCATTCTGCAAAAGGCAGCATCTCCCACGGAGCCTTATGCCAGCTCTGAAAGGTGCTTGATGGAGCTTTCAGAGGCTATTTTGGGGGCTGACGGCTCCCACCCCGCACCGCTGCAGGGCTCTGGGCTGTGCCGGTGCCTTGCTGGTGCCTGCGGGTTTGCCTGCACCTTCAATTAGGGAGGCGCTCGGGGCGATGGGGTTGCAGATAAGGGAATGTTTTTTCCGCAACAGAGAGAAAACAGCAGCTCCCCGACCTGCAAATGCCCCAGGGCAAGGTCATGTCCTGGTGGGGCAGGACTTGCAGCAGGGTGACAGCCGAGACTGTCCCCAGGCAAGGGGAACTGCTACTGGGGTGGAGGTTTGGTCCCTGACGTTGGGGATGGAGAGGCAGAGCTAGGGGGTCTCTGGGGGCTGGGGTCAGATGATGGCTGTCACTGGCCACTGCAAGGCTCCTGTCTCTTTCAGGATGTGACTCGGGCTTTGGGCAGGCGACAGCCCGGCATTTGGACACCATGGGCTTTCGGGTGTTCGCCAGCGTGCTGGACCTGCAGAGTCCTGGTGCCCAGGAGCTGCGCCAGAGCTGCTCGGCGAGGCTGACGCTGCTGCAGATGGACCTGACCAAGCCGGACGACATCCAGCATGTCCTGCAGCACATCCAGGCCCACACCAACAGCACAGGTAGGAGCCCTTGGTGGCCCCCCAGGACCCCTCACAGCTCCCTGGGACCTCAGCCTGCAGCCAGTGTGGCAGTGCCAAGCCTCCATGTGCCCCCACAGTGGGCTGCATCCCTGCAGGCACCCGCGCCAACAGCCTCTGCTGGAAGCCCTTGTCCTGGGGCACCCTGCAATTCCCCCGTGGGACCCTCATGCGCTTGGGGAGCAGCTGGGATTCCCGGGGTGGGGGTCCCCACTCAGATCACCTTCTCAAGCACCCCGTCCCTGCAGGACTCTGGGGCCTGGTGAACAACGCTGGCTTCAACGACACCATCGCCGACGCCGAGCTCTCGCCGCTGGGCAAGTTTCGCGCCTGCATGGAGGTGAATTTCTTTGGCTCCCTGGAGCTCACCAAGGGGCTGCTGCCCCTGCTCCGCTCCGCTGGCGGCCGCATCGTCACCGTCAGCAGCCCTGCAGGTGAGCAGCCCCCCTCCAGCCTGGGCACCCCCGATCGAGCACCTCCGTGGTGTGGGTGTGGCTCCCACCTCCTGGGCACCTCCCTGTTCCCAGCCAGCTGCATCAGACTGGCCCCAGGCACCGTAGGATGAGCTGGTGGTATTGCTGAGCCCCACAGGGGGCACAGGGAAATGGGGAGCTGGAGGGCCTGGGGACAGGCAGCCCAGTTACAGACAGCACAGGCAACCCCAAACCCAGCTGCCACATACCTCCACCATGGACAACAGCCCCGGCCAAGGTGGGAAACCAGCCTCCTCTTCCACCCCTCCCCCTAAAGTTTTCTTCCCATTAAAACATATTAATCCTCCACTGGGGATGATAATCTTAAGATCTGGCTGTATAGGGAGGTAAAACCACTTTCCTCTTCCCACCCTACTTTTCCCCCCCATTAAAACATTAATTTGAATCTACTCTCAGTTGTTTTCTCAGCAAATCAAACCCTAAGCCCTCTCTGTGCACAGAGGTCGGGGGCACAGCCCAACACAAGCCACCCCATGCCCCCTCCCCGGTCCCTGCCTACCCCCTGGCCATGCAGGCACCTCCCTGAGCACCCTCTCACTCATCCCTTCCCTCCTGCCAGGAGACATGCCCTTCCCCTGCCTGGCAGCTTATGGGGCCTCGAAGGCAGCCCTCAGCCTGCTCATGGACACGTTCCGCAGCGAGCTCCAGCCCTGGGGGGTCAAAGTCAGCCTCATCCTGCCCGGCTACTACAAAACAGGTAAGAGGGTTTTTGTTCACTGCCTGAGCCCCACAGGCAACGGGCAGCTATTCCAGGGAGGCAGGAGATGGAGCAATGGGATGAGCAGCTGGTAGTCCAGGATGCAGCTTCTGAGCATCTCCAGCCACCTCCCTGGGGACAGTGGCTACCCTGTGGGCGTTGGGCTCTGGTGGATGGGAAACAGGGTCAGGATCAAGTCCTGCCAGCAGATTCGATGGCACCAGGGCTGGTTGAAGCAGCTCAGCCACATTTATGGTAGCACCATCCTCACTGCAGGCAGTCTGACACCTCTGGTCGAGTCCGGCGCTACCAAGAGCCACCATGGTGCTCCCACTGCACCTCCCTTGTGGCAGATCTTTGCCAGAGTTTCAGCAGGACCTTGTCAGGAGGCTGAGAGGGGACTGGGGCTGCTGGCACCCCTGGCAGGGGGGCTGGAGGAGGAGGGGCCACACAGCTCACAGGGGGACCATGTCCTTGCAGGGACGACGTGCGACCCAGCCTTCTGGAACCTGCAGAAGCAGCGGCTGTTGGCCAGCCTGCCCCAGGAGCTGCTGCAGGCCTACGGCGAGGACTACGTGGAGGAGATCAACCACCAGTTCATCCAGTTCATGAAGGTGGCGGTGGAGGACCTGAGCGCGGTGGTGAACAGCATCACGGACGGGCTCCTGGCTGCCAACCCAGCCGTGCGCTACTACCCAGGGCAGGGCCTTGGGCTCATGTATTTCATACACCGCTACCTGCCCTATTTTGTCCGAGACTTGTTCCTGAAAGGATTCTTCATCAACCCCAAGCTGCCGCGAGCGCTGCGGCGGGAGCACCACAACGATGTGAAGAAGGCCTGACCTCGGCCCGCGCGTGGCCTCTCCCGGGATTTCCAGGCGCGCCGGCCCCCGAGGCAGCGCCCTCCTGCACCGCGGGGGGAACAATCAGCACTAGACGTTAAAAACCAAATTTCTTTCCGAAATCAGGTAGATCTATTTTCTATTGTGCGAGAATCAACATTTTCTAGAGACCTTGGTTTTTTGTATTTTTTCTAACCGTGCATCCTCCAAGGGGCCCATCCCTGCCTGACTGAGCAGCTCCGCAGGCTGGGATGTACCTCGGGCATTTCCTCAGCTACCCACCATCTTCCATACTGCTCTCAGAGCTGTTCGTCTCCGTCACCCCTTGGCTGGGTCAGGGCTGGGACCCTGTGGCTGCTGCCTCCCTGCCACTCATTACACACTCCATGTGCTCCCGGCGAGCGCAGGGGCCGAGGCCGGGCTGCCAGTGCTGCAGAGCTCTCCACGAGGTGAACCACGTGATTGTCACTTTTTCAATAAAGCCATTCTTGATATTCCAGCAGGTTCTGGCTGTCTCCTTCCGCAGTGCAGCGCTGTGATGCTGGTCAGGGATGCCCTGCCCGTGGGCAGAGCTCAGCCGGGTCGCAGCTGGCACCACGCTGGGCACTGTGGCAGGAGCCATGGAGTCCCAGAAAAGGGGTCAGTCTGCCAGAAAGGGCTTGTGCCCACTCCCTGCTCCTCCCCAACCCTACTCCAAAGGCTTCCTTTTGCTTTGCTCCAACACTGTGGTCCTGCTGGGGCAAGGATGGAAGGGGTGACAGTGCCGCACGTGGACAACCCCACACAGGGTGACAAGCCATGCAGCTCCCTAAGGTTGCACCCCTTTAGCTCAGCACCCAGCTGCACCCACAGACCAGGCACTGCCCTGGGCCCCACGGGGTGGTATGACCACCTTGCCCGTGGAAGAAACAAGTGTCCCAAGTCATGCAGGAGTCACACCAGGCTCTGCTACCGCAACTATCAGATTCCCTGGGGAAGAGGCCCTGTGGCTGATGGAGGCTCTGCCTGGGGCTGTGGGAGCAGATGCCCAAGTAAGCAGGAGAGCACAGTGCAGTAGGCAGATATTTATTGATGTAGAGAGGAGGGGGTCACAGGAAAACAAACTGCAGAGGTGACCACAGCACAAGCTGGGACAGAGCCGCTCTCCACTGATCCCTCCCCACAGCAGCATGCAGCGTGTTTCCCACCAGCAAGGATCCTCTACTGCCATAGCACATCTCCCAGAACTTGAGTGCAAGTAGGAGCTAGCCAGGACAGAGCAGCAAGGAACAGGGCTGCCACACCATGCCCAGGGCTTGGCTCCCACCCCAGGCCATGGACAGGCAGGGCCTGGGACATATCTGTCCTCACTGTGGTGACCAAGGGCTGCTCTGTCCCACAGCCAGCTGTGCTGTACAGCTCCACAGCACTGCCAGCCTGTCCTCCACAGGTGAGGAGCCTGGATGTCTGCCCTGAGGAGGTGCAGGGGTCCATCAGCATCTGCAGAGACCAAAAGAGCCCTGGTTCTTGCATGGTTGTGACAGTAAACTGCGACCTGTGGGTCTCCAGGGGAGGAAGGGGCTCAGCCAACATATGGAACCCTGTCCAGGGCAGCAGAGAGACTGATGAGAGCTGCTTCTGCAGACACAGCAAGGCTGCACGAGTGCAAATGCTGCCAGAGTGGGAGGAGTGTGTTCCACAAGCCGTGTGGCTCTGCCCTCACGTTCCCACAGGCTCTGTCCCAGTCTTGGCTAGGGTTGCTCAGTCCCTCCCAGGTCAGGGTTAGCTACAAGGGGATGCAGGGATTGCACAGCAGCATGGGCTACGCTACAGACCACACTCAAACTACATCTCACAGGAACAACACCGAGTAGGAGGCGTGCAGAGCACCGACAGAGGACCCCCCAGCCATGGCAGACCTGACCTGTTCCTCTGCAGCAGTGGGACCCCCTTGGAGGCAGCCCCCCCCCAGCTCATGCTTGCTCTGTGAGCGTAAGCGTACACAGCAATTAGTACAGGAACACTTGGACCACTGGACACACAACAGGAGGTGTCCCTCCTGTTGCACAGGGCCAACCCTGGGCCGCTGGTCCCTCCGGACGCCTCACAGCACACACAACTCGAACTTCAGCTTGTGAATAATTTAACTAGCAACTATACAGTTTCCTCATCTGATCCAGTTCCACAGATGGGACATCCCTGGAGTCTGGGCAAGGGACAACTCAGGGAGTTAGACGGGGGTCCCTCCGGACTCCAGGGGCGGGAGGGTCAGACAGGAGCAGAGCAGGGTTAGAAGATGGGAATGTAGTTGTCGATCTTGGTCCTGTGCCGCTGGGCGATGCACTCTGCGATCCACACGATGTTGCGGCACTCCTGCTCCTTCAGCTTCACAAAGGCATAGAACACCCCGAAGTGGAACTGGTTGAGAAAGGCCAGCTTGTTCAGCTTCACCTGGGGAAAGCCCAAAGGAGGAGATGTCACTTGTCCACCTCAGATGGGAGGAGCTGGTCAAGGTAAGTGTGGACCCACTTGGGAGGGCTCACGACTTCCCAGCAGGCTGGAAGGCTCAGCACAGGTATCCTGCTCTGCATCTCTCTAGGTCCTTAGGACAGCTCCAGCCTACAGCACAGGGCTCAGGACAGGCTCTGACATTGAACAGGGAAATATTTATACCCTCAGGTACCGTGAAAATCTTCCTTTCCCACGTAGTTACACTCTGGTTTTATTATCGATGGACCAAATATCCACAAGCAGTCCCAAACGTGCTCTAATCTGTCTGGGTGAGAAAACATTCCGAGCATGCTGGGCCCCCATTCCCATGTAGGAGCAGTGTGTTTTTCCTTCCCCCAAACCATGTTCATCCACAGCACTGCTAACAGGGCAGCACACCAGCTTGCTGCCACCCTGAGCTCTGCAAATGGCACATGCCAAGAAGCACCTCGGGTGTCACTCACCTCGTGCTCAAAGAACCGGTCTTCAAGGGTTTTGTCCCCAGGGTTGCTGCCAGCCCCTTCAAAGAGCAGCTTGTACTCCTGCAGGAAGGCATTACATGAGGATATATCCCACACCCAAGCCCAGCAGCACTTGGGGGTCCCCTGTCAAGTCAGCAGAGGACAGAGAAACCAGGAGTCCTTTGAAGAAGCCATATCGTCGCTTAGAGTCTGCAGGAAGGGGCATCAGGTACAGCCCCCTCCATGTACAGACTGCAGTGCTTGGGCCAGGCCCCTGTGCCCACACACACTGGTGCATGCCCTGGCTGCTCAAGAAGGGGACACTGACCCCAAACAGGTCCCCAGCCTGCACAAGAGCAGCTTGAGGAACACAAGACACATCCAAGCGTGTGCTCCCAGGTCAGCGTCTCCCCTGCGACTGGAGCAGAGCTCAGGCCTGGAGATGGGGCACACCACTTCTTACTGAAGACACATTTCCACTCCCAAACCAGGCAAGGAGAGCCTGTCATTGCTGCCACACTAACACCTCAAGGGTTTGGTGGTGAGGGCAGTCCCCACACCCCAGGACAGGGCACAGTCTCCCAGTCACCACTGGAATGACAACCACGACTGACAAGCCAACGGCATCCCAGGAAAGCCAAGTCTGACTTGGCCAAGCAGAGCACAGGACCAACAGCAGCAGCAGAAGACAGGCACCCCTCTCCCCAAGCTGTCAATCCACAAGTTCCCCCAGATCCCTGAGAAGCTCTGACCCAGAGCAGGTCCTCGTACCAGTCCCCATGGCCCTCACCCCAGAGCACTCACAGGGTAGTAGTCAGCAACGTTTTTGACTTGCTCGTAGTCATCTGCCCTGGCCAACTGAGCCAGGCCCTCGGGGTAGAGCTTGCCACAGTGCGGGAACAGCTTGGCTCGGTCCTCCTTGGACAGCTCAGTACCAAAGGAGTTGATGGTGATAATGAAGGCCCTCCTGTCAGCTTCAAACTGCGGGGTAAGAGAGAGAGGTTCACCTTGGGATGCAGCATCCTTACCAGAGGCCAGCAGATACCACAGCTGCTCTGCACAGAGCCACGTCAGAGGGCAGCATGAGGAGCCTGCCAGGATGTGCACAGCTCTCCAGTGCTCAGCCAGGGTAGGCTACACGTGCAGGATCCCAGTATGCCCAGTAGATGATGCCTGGGGAGCAGGCAGGTGAGGAAATCCCCATCCCAGGCACAAGCCAAATCCTGCCCAAGTCCAGGAGTGTGTTTCACCTACTGCTCCTGAGCCCTGACCATCCCACAGCAAGCCTTGGCATGGAGACCTGCTGTGCCCTGAGCAGCTCTGGTTGCTCTCCTGCTCGTTATCCATGTGAGAGGATGAAGATCTTGCCACAAAGGCAACAAATGTGTCAACAGACGGCAAGATCAGGACTGGGGAACTAAAGTTATGTGCAGAGAGTGTTCCCCAAGTCTCCCAGTGAGCAGGCAGAGTGGGCATGGGGTTGCTGAAGAGTATCTTGAGCATCCTTAATGCTGGCAGGCAAGCTGGGCCTGAACAGAGAGCAGTGAACATCACTACAATACCATGCCAGCTATGGGAGTTTCCAGACCTACCTCCAGGATTGGGCACATGGCATCTGCTGTGGTGCCTCCCAGCGTCTTGCAGAACTTGTAGAAGGACTCCAGGTAAGCCTGGAAGAGAGAGGGCAGGTGAGCACTCTGCTACACAGCTTCATCTACTGTCCCACAGGGCCCTTCAGCAGAGGACAGGAAGCAAGCAGGGAGTATCCCAGATGCTCTCTAACACAGCACAGGAACTCTGGCCCCGTGTGAACTTGCCCACACAAGGACAGTGCTTCCCCAGGAGCTGCAGACATGAAGGGTTGTGGTTGGGTTCATTCAAGTGACTGCAGGAGCTTACTGTGGGCAAGATCCCCAGGCAGCAAGGCTAAAGCCTATTTTTCTCCTTTGAATCATCTAACTCATTTACTGAAGTCTCACGTGGTTTCCTGACCCTGCTCTGGCCTCCACAAACGTGCCAAGCCACACAACCATAGCTGCGAGACCTACACTCAGAAAGTACCGCTGTGTAAGCAGAGTCAAGGGATGAGACAGGACATCTGTGAAAGAAACCAGCCATCCCCTCTAATTCTCTTTTCACACTGCGGCCTCTTGGTCTCCATCCCAACTGGAGCACTGCAGAAAACATAAGGCCAGGGACAGCAACGTTGCCTCCAGGAAACGTAATCCTTTGTGGAGATGTACCGTGATCCAGCTGGAAGATGACTCTGTGTCCCAGGGGGAGCCCAGGAAGGCTGTGCATGGCTAAAAGTATCGTTCAGCAATAACGTTCTCAGAAGAAGTGATTGTGTGATAAAGCACTTCCCTGGGCAGAGAGCTGCAACCAGAACCTCTTCAAAGGGATGGAATAAAATGACGCTGAGACATCACAAATCTCTGCTTTGTCACAACAACTCCCGGACTGAAGACGGACCAAGAATGCACGTGTTGGACACCCTCAGCACGAGGAAAGCACCTGGATTACTGTGTTCTGTAAATATTTGTAACCACACAGTGCAAGAGGAGAGTACTGGGGTGAGCATCACACATCAAAGAAACATCCTCTCCAGCACTCGCCACTGCTCAGGTGGAGGAGAGCATTGGCCTGCAGTTACCACAGGAATAAGGACGTGGATAATGGACTTTGTTTGAGGCTGACAGGAGAGGGAACATGGATAAGAGTTTCAGTTATTACCTTTGTCCTTATCAGAGTTCACACACACTTTGCTTTAGAAGCAAAACCAGGTGTACTCAAATATGCAGCAGTGAATGAGGATCCAGTACCACAAACACCTTGGAAACACAAGAAAACAGCCACACTGGGTGCCCTCCCAGTGACAGCAACCTACAGAAACTCTCCGGTGTCCTGAAGCCCTTATCCCAGGAATGGGGGTTTCTTTGCATTTAATGATCCTTAATGGACTTTCACTTCCATGAACTGTCCCCCCTGCCTCCTGCCAGTCTCATTTGTTGTCAAATCCAGCTTATAGGAAGACCTGTGGCCTGCCCATCCACATTGATTCTTCCAACATTATCTGTGGATACCACCACAGCTGGGAATCCTTCCTTTTCCAGGTGAGGAATCCTAGCCTTTTTTTTGTAGTTTTCCATACAGAAGTCATCATACCCAAGCCTTTAAATGAGTCCTCCTTAGCACCTTCTCCTACTCTGCTGTTCATACTTGGAGATGAGACGAACGAGACAGTGTCAAAACGTTACAGATGGATGCAGCAGCACAGTGATATTTGTGCAGTTCTTTTCTACTGTTAGGAACATGTTACCTTGTAGAGAGACACTTGCTTAGGTCAATCACTATCCAGATTCTATTTAGCAGTAGGAAGGAACAAGGAGACCCTTGCTGTACAAGCACAGTTAGGATTACCTCCTTGCCTCTCCCATACATCACTCCACATTTATCCACAGTAATTCTCCTGCTTTATTTTATTGCCCAGTCACAAAGCTCCTTCAGCTGGTTCCTACAAGAAGGTCATCAGAAAAAGGCCAACAGTCAGCCAGCTTCACTTCAACATATCCACTGAAGAGGTGGAACAGAGGGAGTAAGCACTGAAGATAACAATGCCAGGACACCTTCACTGTAGGACTCAGCTGCTGACCCCCCTCTGCACTAAGCACTGACCACTTTCACCCTCTGCTCCTCATCTTAACCATATTTCCATTGAGAACCTTCTCACTTGCCACTGCTAACAAGAAACCTTTGTAATGGCTTTCCTCCTCTAAATCCTGCTCAAACCTTCTGTCAACACACTCAGAGATTCCTTCAAAAAACCTCCAGCGTGCCTGGGAGGCAGCATTTCCCCTTCCCATGCCAACTCCTCAAGGACACAGGCATCCATCCCAGGCACCTGCCTGCTTCTTGGAGCAGCTCTCTGCAGATTCCACACCTGATTTTATTTCCCTCATTTGCATTGTGTTACATATTTTCCAGTCCTTGGGGAGAGAGGTGGCTTCAAGTGAGAGCCTGTAAGCAGCAGTCACCTTTTCCACCCCTGCAGCCCTGTGATTTGTTATGGATGGAGCCCCTGTTTTCCCCAGGGGCTGCTCTTTACCCAGCACACACCAAGGGATACCAGGCACTTATGCTTCTATTTGGGGGTAGGAAGAGCAGAATGAAAAGCAGCATAAAAAAAGGAGATGGGAAAGGACGTGGCAGCTGGGACCAAGGAGATGCCCCCCCTCCCAACCTGTTTTCCCTATGCTTAGTCTGCTCCCTGTCTTTCCCCTCCTGCCTCACCTCAACAGGGAGACCTGTGCCCTGCATGGCTGGGGGTGTTTATGCACACAGCCATCCCTCCCCATTACAGCAAAGGCCAGTACATGCCAGAGGCCACAGGCAGCTGGGCATGACTGCTGACATGCCACTCCTTCTCCCCTCCCTTTGCCTTCTTCCCTTCATGCCTGACCTGCTCTCTGCCTCTCCAAACAGGCCACAGCTTCCTTGGAAAACAGAGGTCACACTGACTGCAGGCTGGCTGTGACCAGCCAAAACAAGGTTGACAGATACAATCTGCATCCCCCCTTTGATCCAGAGAGTCGAGATGGAGCGATAGCCACAGCCTGCACATAAACACATGCTTTGACACTGCCTGCTAAAACCAGATGGGGCCTGTAGAGGAGATGACAGCTCAGGACAAGGAGATCCTTAGCCCCTCCACATCCCTGTCTCCCCCCAATAGTCTCCCCCCCCCCCAGCTTGCACCTTTTACACTCCTCTACCAAGAGCACCTAACCCCAACCACAGCCATGCAAGGCTTGAGCAGATTGTTGGAGGGTCTTCAGAGAGGGCTCAAGACAGGGAGCCAAGCCCGTGGGAGTCCTTCAACCAAGCCTAAGATGTAGTCATTACAAATGCAGTTAATGACACATCTGAACTCATGTAGTGAGTTCTCTTGCCTACCAGGGGCCTGAGCAGATTCAGTCAAAGGCAAAACCTCCTGCACAGATTCTTGACAGTTCCAAAAAAACCCCACTCTGCCTAGTCCTGGTGCCCTGCCTCAGCAGAGCCATGTAATTGGATGTCAGGCCCCTCCAAAGCACTGTCTTTACTTTCCAGTGGATGCAAGTAGTTCTTGGCCATGTTTAATCACCATTCCAGGGAAGAAAAATAGTGAGAAAGCAAAATTATTTTTATGTCTACTCCAGAAGAAAAACACCCTCTTGTCTTTGGCTGAAGAAAGGTAGCCTAGGTTGGAGATCCTGACCCAAGACAGAGCTACAGTCACACCAGGAATAAACAGGGAAGTTAAGTTAACATCTCTTTCCCTTCCCAGAGACTCATTTACCTTATACAGCGTGTTTCGAATGATTTCAATGTTCATTTCATCCAGGTCCTGTTCAGATATGCAGTCTTGGAAGAAAGCAGCTGAAACAGAACCACAGACAGAGTTAGCACTGCCCTAACCAGACCCATGCTCAGCACCTTCCAGACTCCTCAACAGTACCAGGCAGAAGCATACCCTGTGTTCAGCTTGTCCCTCCTAGGCCTGACCCTTACCTTCAGGAGTCACCAAACTGCCATGACTCAAAACCTCAGGCTCCACCATGGTTCCCTAGGCCATAACAATTTTTGGAGTTCTCACATGAAAAAAATCTTTGTTGACCCCTTAGTCCTATGGTTTGGCTAACAGCCTATTCCCAGCAGAAATTCTCAGCTCTGGGCCTCAGCATCAGTGACAGAGCAGTCTGCATTGGAAAACAAGCAAACCCCAAAGTGTTCCCAGTTTGGGCAGGGGCTTGGAGGTGACAAGGCAGCTTCAAAATGCCTGCTGCAGCACGGCAGGAGCACTTAAGCACCCGTGAGACAGCAGCCACCGAGTCCTGAGGAACTGATGATTCTCCCCCTTTCTCCAATATTTCAGTGGGATTGAGGAGGCATGGGGATGCCACTGCCCATGACACTCCATGGCTGGAATCAGGAGTTGTTTCTCCTGGTCAGGTCTATTGGTCATATTTTCCACCTCTTCCGAGGGCTTTTATTTTCTATCTGGAAGTTAGCAACAGGAGACAGGATGAACTAGTAGGATTTGGTAGGATGTTCAGCCCTACATACTTTGCCAGAGTACCTCTGAGAGAAGTTGTTGCCACCTAAAGAACACAGATTTCAGACTGAACACAGGATGCTGCAAGCTGCAGATGCAGATGAGTCTCAGTGTAATGTAACGCTGTCATGCCCTTGCTTCCAACCAAGTGGTACAATAAAACCCAGCGGCGGGACTTTATGACTTCTTTAAGTCTCACTCAGCAACCAACTTTGCTGAATTTGCTAGAAAGAGCAATCTGATCTGTCTCAGCTGACACAGTCCAGCTGTGGGTACCGGACACTGCACTCATGCTGAGAACTGACCGGTGTGACGCGGGCTCACACCTCTGGCCTGAACCACTGCCAGAGCACGAGCTGCCTGGCAGGGGCAGCAGCTGCACTGTGGGTCTGGAGGGTCCTGCACAGGGCTTAAACCCCTGCAGAGGTTCCTCTGCAACAGCACCAGAGCCCAGTGCCACGTAGCTGGGGGCCTGACAGTTGGCAAAAATGCAAACAGAGCGTGCCAGGACTGGTTTTTACGTCAGGACCCGCTGGCCAGCCTGGATCGCTAAGCAGTGGCTACTTCAGAGTAGCAGAGGAATGAGTACACAGCTATTTCAGTTCTTAGCCCTCTAATATCCCAAATTAGGCTTACAGCAAGTCTTATTTTGCCCTGCTAACCTTTGAAAGCCATTTGGGGTTAGGCATTCCCACCAAGCCACGTAGCTACTCAAGTTCTTTTAGGAGATAGAGCTGCTGTTTCCTTGCGTGTGGTCACTGGAAAGAGTGCAAGTTAAACAACTGGAGCCTGCATGCCTGCTTGTTTAGGCAACACAGCTACTCCCCATGTTCCCCTGTTGAAGAAATGCCACACTGGTTGGTACACAGCCCCAAGGGCATGGCCAGGGCAAAGGTCTGGAGAAGAAGTCAGCCCAGCCAGGGCAGAAACAGGCAAAACTGACTCCTGGACAAGTCCATGAATGCAAGAGGCAAAGACCCTCGACTGCCACCTGGGTTCTCCAGAACCACCTCCCCACTGACACAGGGCATTTTCACTCCATGCACTGCTGGAAGCTTTAAGGTCTCTGAGAGCTGATATCCCTGAAATACTCTGTTCTATCTTATTGCCAAAATGGGAAGGTTCCCACTTACTTATGAGGAGGATTTTCTTCCCACATATCATCCCTACAGTGGGCTCAGTTCTCCTGCTGCGCTGTTGCCCTGCCTTGCAACCCAGATCTCTTGAGACATGTCTTCCCTCCTTTCCTGGGCACAAGTCATTTTTCCATGACAACTACTTCACTTGCCCCTATGATTACAAAGAGCATTTGCAAAAGCATTTTCAGTTCCAAAACCAACGATTTCTATCAAAGACAATATGATGACTTAAGAGTGTTTTGTTCCTTTTAGCAACCCCAAAAGAATGATTAATCACTGACTCAGGCACATCTCATTACATTTTTGCCCACATAGACTAAACTTGCAAGTCACCTGTGACTACCTCCCCTACTACTGCTAAAAGACTACCATATTTTCTCCAGAACCAATTCCTACACCTTCTATCTTTAGAGAATATCTGTTTGACTTGCTGTTCACAAGACACTTGGTTTTAGCATTATGTGCCTCCTGAACAAGCCCATGGCCCTGAAACACTTACCTCAGTCTGAGACAGAATACCTCAGTGAAGGATCCTGCTACACAACGAGTTTTAAAAGGCTTTTGGAGATTTCTTTGTTTTGCTGTGCTTGTTTTGGTTCGGGTTTTTTTTTTTCTATAAAGAGCTTTCATTTAACTAGCGCTAATTTTAGTAGTCTCAGAACAAGATTGGGCATGTGCAGATCTCTGTAAATATCTAAAAAAATTGCCTAAAGAAATTACCCAATGGTCCAACTAAAAGTGCTGGAAACCAAGTGACTCATTCCAGCAGAAGACCTGACAGCCCTTCACTAAGGAAGCTCAAGGCCTGGCTCACACAAACCAAACTCTCCAGCAGTCTGCACTACCAGTGTGCTGGCCTGGACAGTGACTGAAGGGTACAGAGAGCTAGCTGGTCCTCCAGAGGAAAAACTGGCATAGGACAGGCCTAAACCTGAACTCAGGCCCAGCCACCACAGGCAGTACAGCCACAGCTGTGCATTTCCCACCGCTTTGTCTTCCTGGAGCACAACTTAGGCTTAGCTGGAGCCAGTTAGACCGGGGGAGAAAGGGACATCTGTTCCACCACACACAGCTGAGAGGTATTTTGATGGGCCCCACTCACCCAGGGGAGTGTCCACCAGGATTGCATTGTAGAGCTCCGCAGGCGTCTGAGCAATGTTCACAGCTTCCATCTGCTCGAAACTTCCCAGAGGATGGCACTTGGGCACCAGCTCGGAGATGGAACGCTGGTGCAGAGTCCCAGTGATCAGCAGAATGACATTGTCAATCATGTAGCTGTACCTGGAAGAGGAAGAAAGAGGAAGATTGAAACAACAGAAATAATACGGAACGCAGCACCACACACACATCATCTTCCTATGAATGTCCCCAGAAAGATGCACCCTCCCCAAAAAAGAAATAGTAAGGCACCTCCTCAGTGTCTGCTTATCATGCCAGCCTAGGAGAAGGCAGTCAAGCATAATCCCAAACTGTGATTTATGCCACAGCTGAACCACACCATCTGGGCATCACCCACCTACCATCAAAGAGTATGAGATTGGAAGGGACTTCTGGAAGTCTCTGGCCCAATACCCTGCTCTGAGCACAGCCAGCTCCAGCTGCTCAGGGCCTTGTCCAGATGAACTTTGAGGTATTTGCAAAGATATAATCTCACAGTCTCCCCAGGGTTCTGCTTCAGTGTCTGACCACACTCAAATGAAAAGTCTTTTCCTAACCTTCCCCCATGGCCATTGGTCTACTGTCTCTCATCCTAACCCCACACACCTCCAAGAAGAGCCTGGCTTCAGCTTTCCCACGCCCTCCCACAAGGTAGCTGGGAACATTTGTCCTTCCAGCATTCCCACTGCTCTCCTGGCACTGCTGTGCTCTGCAGAGAGCACATGCAAAGGTGTACGTGGTAGGACACCAGCAAGGAGGAATGTGCAGGTAGCCCAAGCTATCTGTGCCAGCCACACTGCTCCATCTTGCCAAGAGAAAGCAGGAAGGGTCACCTTTCTGCAGCCCAAACAACAACAGGGCTGGCACAACCTTGGTTCGCGCCCTCACGTGAGGTTTTTCACACCTCTACCTTCAAAGGTACAAACCTCTTTGCATTAGCCCAAGTTACGACATCACTAACCAAGTTCTCTGCTTATGTTGTTCAGCCTTTGGCACTGCAGCAATGGGACATTCAGTCTGGAATCACCACACTCAGCACAAGTTCCACCAACACAAGCCCTTCGTGGCCCTTCTCTCCAGTATGTCCATATTTCTCAGGCACTGAGGAGCCCAGAGATGGGCACAGCATGCCAGGTGAGACATCCTAGTCCTGAGCAGAGGGGAAAGAACACCTCCCAGTTCTCCCAAACCAGCCAGAGAAGGGAGACACAGCTGGCCTGAAGGTTCAAGCAAGGGATTCAAGGCATCACATAAATACTAAGTGTCCCCAGCAAGGACAGGAGTGATGCTCTAGGCACCTTCATCTCCAGCTAAGACACAAGCAAAACAAGCTGAAAACCTGAAAAACGTCAAGTGAGATGAGGGTTTTTTTCAGTCAGCAGAAGTTGCCTCTGCAAATGTTCCTCAGCAGCAAAGGAAAGAGGCACAGATGCTGGAAGAGCAGGGTATTTGGCATTTTACACTCCCTTGCTCTCACTGCTAGTTCTGACTCTAAAAATTCAGATGATGGGAAAGACCTGAAGAAGCTCCTTGGCAGGAGCTGCTCCAAAACAAAGGAGATCAGGACTGAACTAGAATGGCAGAAGGAGCTGTGCAAGTCTGGAGCTGGAGCTCTGCTGAGGGTCAGGCTTCCCACATGTACTGAAGAAAGGGAACTTAAGGCCAGCACCCTGGGACTGGGGTGAGGGCAGGGATTGCAAGGCTCAGTTGATGTTTGCCAGACAGGCACTGGGATGCTGCAGGTCTCTGTATTTCCGAGCTAACACGGAGGACATAGTACAGCCCTGTTTCCCTTCTACCACATCAAAGGTAGCCAAGCAGAACCAGTTAAAGGCAGATTTCAGTAGTTTTTATGAGATGGGCTTACTGCCTCTCAACTATGCTCAAAGGGCACATCCATGAACAAATCAAATCCACACCTTAGTTCCTCAAACAGGCGCTGCTCTTTTCTCTCCACACTGCCAGGCTGAGTAATGCACCTCCTGGCCCTGTGATTTTTACAGAGAGCCCTTCTGTGTTTGCAGCCTACCTTTCCTGGTTCAATCTAGAACCAGGGCAATCAGCACAAGCTTCAGGTACTAGGAAACCTCCTTTTGCCCTTTAATCCACAAGGTCATTATCTTCCCTCCTGTTTGTGCAGCTCTCACCATGGAGATGATTGCAATCTCCAGGACAGCAAGAAGGGCCTGTTTATGAGAACTGAGGTCAGTCCCTTGCAGTAAGCAGCTGGTTCCTGGTAAATACAAGCATCTGCACCCTAACACAGATGCATCTCCCTGAGGTGTGCCAGAAAAAGGATACAGAAGATCCTTTCCCAGCTCCACCACCCGCCCTCAAACATGCAAGTTTCCCTAGTGTGACATAGTAGCTTTAAGGAAAGACCATAGGCAGCGCTACTCTCACCAAAACAAGGCAACAACACAGGGTGAGACCAAATTTGCTACTTCAACTCAGCCCACAGTGAAGGGATAGGTAAGGAAATATGGTCATTGCACAGTATGTCAGCACACCTCCTTCCTATCCCCAGCTTACCACAGATATCACTTTCCACAAGATATTTGCAACTTGCAAGGAGCCTGGCCAAAGTCAACTGCACAAGAAGGAAGTGAGGAAAAATACCTGGAGCCCTTTTGCTTGCAGGTCTTCAGAGCAGCTTACTGAAGTCACATCAAACTCATCCATGTCCTCTCAGATGAGCTCAGCATGAAAGCCACAGTTAGGTTTGGAGACAGCTGTCAAAATCTGACCCTCTTCACATGTGCAACTATGCTTCAGACTGATGGTCCCAGGAAAGACAACCCACTGCCAGAGAGCAAAGCATGGCTCTCATTTCATTTGCACCCCTTAACTTGCTTGTTTCCTCATTCTTCAGGGAAGTCTGGGGACATGCATGGTCTACAGTCCAAATGCCAAGGCCTCTAAGGAGGCATCAACTGTTTTAGAGAGCACTTCACCTACAGACACCACTTAAATCCTGCTGTCGAAGGATTTAAGCCCTGCAGGAGGAGTTACCATGTGACAGCATTTCAAACCTTCACAATAACAAAGGAGACGCAGCAGGACAAAGGTCTTGGTGTGCCTGCCGAGGCCAGGTAGACACCAGCACCTCGACCTAATCCTTTCTGATAGTTCTGTTTCCTTCATGGAAGCTCAGACCACACTTATTCACGTTCAGTCCCTGCTTCAACCCAGTAAAACCCATCACAGCTTAGTCACTCAGGACTGCAAGGCACATCTTCTAGTGCCAGGGCAGCTGGTAAAGCCTCTTCTCATCTGTGGAAGGGGTGACACTTTCTTTCCTGTGCCAGGTCTCAACAAGAACACATCTGCCTCCACCAGCACAGCTGTCCCAAGAACACAGCAGAGGTCCTGGCTACGCTGGCATTTTCTCCCAGGCCCAAAGAATCAGATTTATTACAGTGGCAGCAGTTTTCCTACGAGCCTCCAACTACATGTGTAATGGAGCAGCTTTTGTCATCACCCTCCTCATCTCCTATAAGGCTCTGACCAGCTTCAAATGTTTCAGTTTTCACAGTCAATGCGTGCTCAGACCCCTCCACAAGCATTTTAACCTTCACTAGCTCTCAGTGCACTAATAAAAGCACCAAACTAGAGGCCACGGGAGAACACAGGAGTAGTTGGTCACTTGCAACCCCAGGAAGTCTTCCTTCAGCCCACTTGAGTTCTTTTCATAGCCAAGCTCTCCTGGGCACAAACGTGTTTGAAAACCCTGCTTTGAGCTGCTTTCTGCCCACCCGAGGACATGGACACAAAACCAGTGTATATTCAGCAGGAGTTTGATGTGCACAGTTACACCCTGCCTTGCTCTTCCTGTCACCCCCTGAACTGAGGTGTGGTATATTCCAGAAATTCACATTCACAGAAATACCATTTTAGTCAATACTCAGAAGCATCAGCAGCATCTCACACAAGGGTAGAATTTTTTATTAAAGGACAGAAAAGAGCAAACGTAGAAAAATCATGGGTATCATCCACAGCAGGAGAGAGATGATGGTTTCCAGCTTCCTGCAGTCCAATCTCTTTGCTCCTCCAGCGACACTCACTGCAGCACAATACACCTTGGGTAACACTCAGATAACAAGAACAAAGTTCATTCTCACTGCTGGGTTTGGGAGGTGTGGTCTCAGGCTGACTCAGCAGAGACCCCTCACAGAGAACAGAGCAGAGCCAGCCCCCAGAAGCTGAAGTCTGGGACAGTCATCCATGGATGGTTATGGAGCAGGATCAAGCTGGAGTAGAGCACACATGTAAAAGCCATGTACAGGTACTTTGACAACGTATGTTTTGCTCCTTCTGGCGTTCCTTAAGTACAGGCACTGATAAATGAGACATCCAGGACAGACTGCAGCGGCCTCTGAGGACTGGGAAAGGCTGTTTTAGCAGGGAGCACGTGAAATGCATGAACACTCATCACATGGGGCATTTACAACTTGGCCTCAAGGCACTCAGGCACAGCCCTGCAAGGCAGTGACCCCAAAGCAGTTAGAGCTTTTCCCTCCCCCACTTCCTAATCTAATCTAATCATAAAGAGTCATTGTCCTATAGCAGATAGGTTGTTTTTTTATTGCTTTCTGTTCCAGGACACTAAAGAAACCGTTAACAATACTGCAAGTGGTCACAAAGCATGACTAATGACGGAACATTGCATGACCTGCGATTCTCAGGGATCCTCCAAAAGTTGTGCCAAACTGTAGCTTAACAGCTGCTCTGCAAGGGGTCATGAGGACAGCCCATGTCACAGCCAACACAGGGAGCAGTGGGCCGATGCAGAGGTGCATGGCAGGGCTTTGCTGGGATGGGGCAAGGTATGTCATTTCTCAGGCAACTTTAATGCTTTCCAGCACTAGACCCTAACAGAGACTGCTGTGAGCAAGGCCAGAGTCCCTGTGTGACTGCACTGGGCAGCTACTCGGGTTACTGTAGAAGCATGTGTTTATTTTGGGATGAAAAAGGGAAATCTCCAGTGGGATTAGAGCAGTGCTCTGAATTCCGCATGAATTCGAGAGACAGCTTTAAAAGATAATTAAGTTGTTTTGACTATGGTCACTTTAGCATCTAATGCTTCCCTCTTGCAGCTCATCCAATTCATATACCCAGGGGCT